TTCGTTAGAGATCAAAAAACTAAAACAAACGCGTGCCTAAAAGCTTTGCAAGAATTACTCTCCTATATGAATGAAGGACTTTAAATAAGCCGAACTGAAGCTTTTACATCGTTAATTTGGTCAAGATAACATTTTTTTTCAAAATAACACGCGGCATATTCTATTGTGTTATATAGTAACAACAGAAGAGGTAGTAGTTTTGATCTGTTGGCGTGAATGCCGCATAATTTCTGAAGAGATTTCAAGCAAAAGAGATTTCTCAAAGACTCCAAATACTATGGGTAGGACCTTCTGTCATATAAAAGATCTGTCTGTAATTTGGAGCCAATTCTATCAACTACTCCTGGTTTGTTCTTCTTTCATATTAATATATCGATTATTTTTATTCATTTCATCCCAAGCAAGGCGATAGTACCGCTATGACGCAAGGACTTCCTATGAGTGAAAGAGAATGAGAAACCTTAATGAAGACGATAAAAGATGTTTCACGAAGAGAGAAGATGGCTATTGGCGTTGCATTTCAATTTTTGAGGATTGTAGGTTACGGGAAATCCAGAAACAGAAAGGCGAGAAAAGAAAGTTTTAGAATAGAACATATGATTACATATAGCTAGTTCAACCGTAGATCTATTTGACAATATAGTAGTAATCTTATATTCATGCGGTACCAAAGAGGAAAGCTCACCAGAAAAAATTATCATGGAAATATTTATAGACATCACAGAAGGGAGCCAAATCACGGCGGTGAGAAAGTGACTGAAGTCGTGATGTCAGGGTAGGAAAGATTATAAATCTAACAGATCATCCGGGAGCAATGGCAACTCAAAACAATAGTGATTACATGGCGTTGCAGATCTCCTTTAAAAGGTTGCCTCGTCGATGTGTCTTTGAATATGACTATTGCATCCCCTGAATATGGGACAAACATATCCGCAATAAAGAAGCCATTTTCTAGAAGGGTATCAGCAATGTCTAGCTTTGAAACTCTAAACCGGAGATATATCTACTTTTCAAAGTTTAGTGTGTAAGGGACCTGCGGGTACTATTTAACTTTAGTGTAGACCGGACCTGTGTGTACCATATTGATTTTAGTGTAGAAGGAACCAATTTTCTTCCTTTTTGAATGCAATATAAAAAGGTACTGCTTATCTTTTTGGCTCTCGTGTAAAACGAGCTCTCGTTTATTTTTGGATTAACTGTAAGCCCAGCCATTGTCTACTTTCTTCTACTCAATTATAAACTGAATTATATCCATATCTATTTCTTATTTCCGTATTTATTTTTCCTGTACGACTTATATTTGACAATAACCTCAACTGAAGTTAAATTAACCAGACTAACCATCTTTTCAAAGTAACATGCGTCATTTTGTATTGTGTTACCTGGTAATAGCAACGGGGGAGTAATCCTTGACGAGACCTATAGACACAAGAAGACTGACACATATATGTCAGTCACGTGAGCTCTACAGTATATTCAATTTCAATACTTATTTTATGTGTCTGTTCTTTGTTTTCTTTTTTTGTTTTCTTTTGTTTTTTGAATATTTGTTTGTCTGCAACAGCTGATCTCTTCAAGCCACTGTTGGATGAAGAATGTTTTCAACGTCCAATGTTCACAGGAAATAGCGAATATTTTTTGTATATATATATATATATATATATATAATTATTATCATTATTGTTATTATTATTGTTGTTATTATTATTATTTCTTTTGCCCGAATCATTTTCTTCTCTGCTTTGAAGCGAAATAGACTTTTTTATTTTAGACTCTCCTTCTGAGAATTCAAATTTACCTTCTCATTGTGATTTTTCTCTTCAATGCTGAGGGTAACGGCTGGAGATCTGAGCACATTATTTGTTCAGTGTTGTAGTGGGTGCTGCAGAAAGGGAAGTTAAGTCATAAAAGCCACACACACACACACACACACACACACACACACAAACAAACAAACAAACAAAACTTCCAACGTCTTTCTTTTCTTTCAAGTAAATAAGTGTCTACCCTTTTATTAAACATGTTGGCATGTGAACTCCGTAAAAAAGTATTGTTATGACAAAATTAATTGTATACAAATAATTGATTTGCTTAAAGTTCTCTCACCCAGTCAGATAAAATAACCCGGTCGTCATCTGTCACCAGAGTAAGCATATTTATTATTTATTCTACTATAACCTCTTCTAAAGTATATACTAACGGGCGCGTGACCGAGAGGGTAGATTGTTCGCCTTTCGACCATGAGGCGCGTGTTCGAATCTCATTATGGTCGATTTGTCAGAAGGGTGACTTCTTGGTTTTATCGTCTTGATGATGCGATCCCAACACGCGGTATATTTAGATTGAGCCACGCCTTAAATTGGATGGATGGAACTGTTTGGAAGACGATGCTGTATGTACAAACACGAAATCACAAGTCATCGTAACCGTCAGTGTGAGTGACGTTGTTCACATCGCTGATCCTGAAGAAGAGACTTGAAGGAACAGAATTGTCATTCTACAGAAGGACGAAGTTTTAGAGAAAAAAAAACCAAAAAGGACATTTATATTTACTCTCAGGAATAGACAGTTGAATATATATATATATATATGTTTGTGTGCGTGACGTTTTCTTTCAGTCAGCAATATAGCGTAACCAAGGCGTACGGTATGTGTGCAAAACATGTAACCTGGTAAATTATAAGGCACTATATATATATATATATATATATATATATATATATATATTGTATTACCCCCCATGAAGATGATCTAGGAAAAAAATCGAAAGTACTTGGGAAATGAAAGTAATAGAAACTTAAACAGCTATATTCTCTCGTCCTTTAACATCAATACACGGAAGGTCATTCGTGTCTATGGACGGATTTTGTTAAAATGTCTGTAATTTATTCAATCAGACATGCCTAAAATATTATAACCCACTATATATATATATATATATATATATATATATATATATACAAAAACGTCGGTATATGTATATTTATTAATATATATCTTTGCTCTGTCTTACCACATCGAGCATTATTATGTTTACACCTCATGAACACGTGCGTATGCGGTTACTTCTATTTGATCGTTTGATTTACTTAACTCTACTATATATATATATATATATATATATATATATATATATATATATATATATATATATATATAAAATGTGTGTGTCTTTGTTTCTCTGTGTGTGTGGTGGTCTCAGAATAAGCTCAACTTGCGCTAATAAACATTTTGGCATGCCAAGAACTAAACATTTCAGTGATACACTTACGAGGAAAGTAAGAGGATATTTAAAAATGGGGTCTTGTCTTTTATCGAACAACCCCTTCCATAACCCAGATACTTTTATATTCCATTTGTTTCCATTCAATCCACATCTTAGTCTTTTTCGTGTGTATTACAATACTTATTAATATCAAATCAAAGTACTCCATAGCGAAGGGAGATCTTCCAGAAATCGTATTCTAATATAATAGTATTTACATGGCGATGCTAACGCCTGTCCTTGCAACAAGTCGGATTGGGTTACATATTACCAATATCTGTGTGTAAATTTAAATCTATAATCTGGATTTTTATCCCTTTCTTTTTGTTATGCTAACAAATGTGCCACCTTGTAGTGATAATCGGCTTTCTCAAAGTGAACCCAAAATATGGCTGAGTTAATGCCTATTCCCATCATGCTAAAACAATTGGAGAAAAGCCATACAACTATTTCCCCTGCGATGCAAATGAGGTTGAAAGTAGTCTTAGAAATGTCTTGTTGCTGGCATGTGTTGACAGATAAGCGAGTGGATATAAATTGAGCCAACCGTTCATCTATAGCTACCATATCTTCTTTGCATGACATGAAGAAAAGGCTGTTACCTCCATCTTCAACCTTCACAATGGTTCGATATATATATATATATATATATATATATATATATATATATATATATATATATATATATATATATATCAACGTGATCAACGTGACCATGTTTAAAAGGAACGCTGATCTTATAAAACTTTCAGTTATCTGTTTGGATAATGGCTTGTTCTTATGTCCATCGTCTTTGTCATGTTGAATTGATAATGTTAATTATATTTTATGAATATGTCCTGAAGATGGTTTATTAGACCGAAACGTCCGATGTTGACATTATATTAACATTAAAACAGCATAATTGTATATAAGGATATTTTTGTTTGTTTTTTCCGTATATTTTTCTTCATACTGTCGGATCTATATCCATACATTTGCTTATATATATACATATATATATATATATATATATATATGCATGCGCGCGCGTGTGTGTCTGTGTCTGTGTGTGTGTGTGTGTGTGAAGTTTTCTTTCAGTCAGCAATATAGCGTAACCAAAGTGTGCGGTGTGGGAGCAAAACATGTGTGCCGCGAAGGTCAAACATGTGTCAGTGTACGGGTTAGTTTCGTCTTTGGAGCTAACATCTGTGCTTCCACCAATGATTATCAAACGTCGATATGTACATAAGTCAAGCTGAATCGACCACAAAATAAGCGACGGACGGTATTAAAGAAAAGCTGAAACGCTTTTCATAGAATTATTAAGAATTGCGTAAAGAGCGTTTCCCGCCATTGGATAGATCCAAGTTAAGTAGTTAAATCGCTAAACAAGGTTTTATTTTTTTTTTTTTTGACTTATCTTTGCAGATTTAGTTAGCACCTAATTCGTTTTATAATTTTTAAGTTAATTTCTGCATCGCTTAATTGCCAATTGCTTCCTTTTAGCATCGTCACTTGATTTGCATTCTGCAAATTGAACATCATGCAATCAAGTCTTGACTTTTGTTAGGATATAAAAAGAATGAAAATCTATGCATTATGCCTTCTGTTTCAGGCGTATATAATTTATGCCATGATTATTATCTTTGTCTTTGAGTATTTTATATAAAAGAGAAAAGTTCAGAATTATTGATAAATACTGAAACCACTGGATTAAGCCAGGCTTTAGAAAGGCAAAAAGAATAAAACGTAGCTAGAATTTTACAAAGAAAGAAAGAAAGAAAGAAAGAAAGAAAGAAAGAAAGAAAGAAAGAAAGAAAGAAAGAAAATCAATGAACTGCAAAAGGAGAGTGATAGTAAAGAAATAAACTTGGGGATAGATAGATAGATAGATAGATAGATAGATAGATAGATAGATAGATAGATAGATAGATAGATAGGAATACTGATAGCTAGATCAACAGTGAGACATCAACAGACAGATATGAATCAACTTGAATAGATAGATAGATAGATAGATAGATAGATAGATAGATAGATAGATAGATAGGAATACTGATAGCTAGATCGATACTGACAGACATCAACAGACAGATATGTACAGACTTAGATAGATAGATAGATAGATAGATAGATAGATAGATAGATAGATAGATAGATAGATAGATAGGAATACTGATAGCTAGATCGATACTGTGAGACATCAACAGACAGATATGTACAGACTTGAATAGATAGATAGATAGATAGATAGATTAGAAATAAACTAGTAAGCTGAGAAAGAAAGAAAGAAAGAAAGAAAGAAAGAAAGAAAGAAAGAAAGAAAGAAAATGAAAAAAATCAATAAACTGCGAAAGATTGATAGTAAAGAAATGAACGACAGGAGATAGATAGATAGATAGATAGATAGATAGATAGATAGATAGATAGATAGATAGATAGATAGATAGATCAGAAATAAACTAGTAAACTGAGAAAGAAAGAAAAAAGAAAAAAAAAGAAAGAAAGAAATTGAAAAAATCAATAAACTGTGAAAGAGTGATAGTAAAGAAATGAACGACAGCAAATATATAGATAGATAGAGAGAATGAGAGAGAGAGAGAGAAAGAGAAAGAAAGAGATAAGGAGATTAGAAAAAAACAGCAAAATGAGATAGATAGATAGATAGATAGATAGATAGATAGATAGATAGATAGATAGATAGATAGAAAACAATAAACTTCGAAAGAGAGAGTCAACGTAAAAAAATAAACTATTAGACAGAGATATATAGATAGAGAGAGAGAGTAAAATAAATAAACCAGTAAATTGAGATAGATAGATAGATAGATAGATAGATAGATAGATTGCAGTTGTGAAAGTGAGTAAGAGAACAAATAAACGGGTGAGCTGAGATAGATAGGTGGATAGGTAGAGAGAGGGGGGATTAACCGAGTAAACTGAGATAGATAAATATATATAACTAGATAGATAGATCGCGATAGAGAGAGGGAGACAGAGAAGAAATAAACGAGTAAATTCAGATAGATAGATAGATAGATAGATAGATAGATAGATAGATAGATAGTTACGAACAAACTGAGATAGATAGATAGATAGATAGATAGATAGATAGTTACGAACAAACTGAGATAGATAGATAGATAGATAGATAGATAGATAGATAGATAGATAGATAGATAGATAGATAATGTCTATGTGTCCAGGTTTATGATTTCACAATGTAATTAGTATTAATCAATCAGTGTTATAATGATATTCATATGAAGAACATGTCATGTGAATTCACTTTCAACTACGTCTGTTTTTATTAGGAATGTTTACAATCAACGAGCTTTCAGTTAAATTCGTTAATCTTGTAAAGCAACACCTTAATTTAAAATTTACATTCTGCATTATTTTACTATCCTTACCAAAAGAAGATTTGCAAGACATTTAATAGAATGCTCTGAGGACATTCCAGATCTTAATTCAATAGGAAATTGTTTATGAGAATGGAAAACAATTTTCTATCAACGTCCGTTGCACATATTCATAAATTTCGAACAGTTATTAGCTAAAATGTTTGGAAGAGTGGTGAACGTTTTAGGATCTCTATAAGCCAACGTTAATACATCACTTAATAAAATAATACTTTAATCGGAAATATAGTACCATGTGTCAAAATATAAAAACGCTGATGTTGGGCATACCTCATTCGCCCAATAAAACGTGCTAAGCGCAAAATAGGTTATTATTTTAAAACAGAATAGATATTATAAACTGAAACTAACAATATATATTGCTTAAGTATCGTTTACGCCTATATCATGTTGAAGCTCCTGTTCTGGTCATGTCAACGAAGTTAAGGTACGTTGAACCTGGACCGTACCTTCGTAGATGACCGATTGGGAATCCCAGAGGTCGTGTAGTGTATACATATTTAACTTTCCCTCGGCAAAGTTTACATGATTATAAGTGGGTGGACCAAGTACAATGCTATATTTATTATTTACTAGCTTAAAATCAACCCTATAGGGTGGCATTTAAGTTAGCTCCTGCGAAGAGCTCTTGACTGGGCCTTTGGCTTGCTCAGGAGTTTTAGAGTTCCTAAATATTTGCATATTCTAAGTACAGGAAGTTCACCTGGCTGCCGTTTGAGCTGGGTTTCCATTTTGATGGGAATTTCTTCTCCACGCAACAGCCTTGTCTTTTTTTAAAATTCAATCTGATCCTTTGTTAGCATAGATTTCTTTTTGCGAGGAATGATGCTGATGTATAAACAATAAACCCATTTATGTACTGCATTAATATTTAAACTTATCTTTTAAAAGTTCAACAATAATTATTGTGCCACTACTTAATTTAAAGACAATCTGATGTGCGTAGGTCCTTACTTTCTGTAAAAAAAAAGTTCCCAGACTTCATGAATTTAAGCGTTCAACTAGGCTGGCATCTCGCCCTCACCTTTCACTGTCGAAACTATTAATTTCCAACTATTCAAATGTAACGTCAATCAATGTCTCCAGATGCCCTGATTTATCCCCTATATATATATAATTTCTTCATTCTGTCGGATTTATATCCATTTACACTTGCTTATATATATATATGTATTTTATTCCATTGGTGACTTTTGCTGTATTTCGCAATTAATTTCAATTATTCCCAAATTTATTTCCAAGTTATAAATATTGTTATCATACAAAAAAAAATTCGTCGCAAAATATCACGTAAAAATCGCCGAAAACAATGGCAGTAATGAAAATATGGGAATCCAAAATTTCATGATTGCGGGTCCGAATCCGACTCGGAATGTTTTTAATTTGCTGACGGTGTTGGCCTGATTCCAAAATGGTATGATATGTTGGGATACGGCCTCTAGGAGTAAAGTTTAAAAAGTGTGTCACACTGACACACTAACATTCGTATTTATTATATAGTTTTGTTTTTTTTTTATAAAGAAATGAATTTGAAAATAAATCGTTTTACTCAAAAATTAACAAAAAATTACAAAATTATCAAATGTATGAGGAAGAGATGCTATCAACCTGAATTTTCGTGACAAGAGCCAAAATAAAAATGCATTTTTTGCCTATAGTTACTTGTTCTTTTATGTCTATTTAAATGTCTTTGCGCATACACATTTTTATAAATATATGAAAAAAAATATTTTTCATGTTGATTTCTTTCTAAAAACAAAAATAAATATTTCAATATATTTGCTTCACTTATTTTTATAGTCTTGTAAATATAAAACTATTTTGTAAAAAAGCTATCTAATAAATAAATTGTTTAATATCTTTGTTTTCAATTCAATTGCAATGCAATACAATGTAATTGGCCCTGATATGGCATCTCGTCTGCAGCTGCTCACTCACAGACGTGCCGTTGCCTCCCTCTGTCTTTTTTACAAATACTTCCACGGTAACTGCTCCGATGAGCTGCTTTCGCTGGTTCCCAGACTTCATGAATTTAAGCGTTCAACTAGGCTGGCATCTCGCCCTCACCTTTCACTGTCGAAACTATTAATTTCCAACTATTCAAATGTAACGTCAATCAATGTCTCCAGATGCCCTGATTTATCCCCTAACCTTCTCTTCATAAATTTCCTCCATCACTCGTCTTTGCTCTCGCTGCAACTCTCTGTAACCCCTTTGCGTGCTAGTGACTTCCCACCTTGCTTGGGGTTGAATGCCTAAAAAAAAATTCTCAAGAATAAAGAAAATATATAATTACATTTTCATATGTTTGTGTTTTATTAGAATTTTAATTATCGCTTTTGAAAACAACAACAGTTGCTGAGGGAGTCAAAAATATACACAGTAATAGTAATATCAAGGTAATAACTGTCCTTTTGGCACACGTGGGCACGAAGGTTAAAAATTAACCGAATTTTGAATTTGCTTTCTTTCGTTACATTATAACACAAAAATTAAAACTAAAGAGAAAAGGGTGAGCACCCTCCTCCACACACACAAAATATAACCCGGCTTCATTTCAATAATACCAGGCTATCACTCGTAAGTGGATTAAAGCATATTGAACGTTCTGGAAGTTGTGGATTCAATCCCTTAGATTGGTAGTGCTGAAACGTCATATAATCTGATTCCGTTGAAAGTAACGGACAACTGACACAATAGGAACTTAGGTTAGTGAATACTAACACGAAATGTGTCCCAAATATGGGAAGCATAATAAAAACACTTTGCCCCTGAGGATTAAATAAAGGGTCTGGTTTAAAATTCCCATAAGGTAAATGTGTATGACTTCATTTACCTGAAGAAGCTGATACAACGGCCGAAACTTTGCGATCATAAAAATCAAGACGAGAATGCTGGTTCTAAACTTCTTCTTTGAACTGTATCCCTTCTGGTCGTGTGTTTTCATGGCTCTCCATAATTTCTTCCGTTTTAGTTTCTCGTAAAGTTTTTGCTATCTCTCCGAATCCCTGTTCTGCCAAAAATGTACACAAAATTGTTAGGTTCCGTCTGTCCCATTTGCCTTAAATATGCCCCATGAGTATCAAATTTCCTAAGTCTTTTCTTCATTACGTTTTATGACACCTGGAATGCTCTCCTACACTGAATATTATGAGTATCGTCAAGTAAGAAAAATTTCACTGACGAAATTTAAACTGACATCTTAGATAGTAGAGATGACTTTTCAAAGACATCACCTTAATAAATTCGGCCACAGAAAACTTCTTTTAAATAAGTCACAGATATACAGTCATTTTTGCCAAACCTCTCTCCAGGAACATAATCACGATTCCTGTAAGGCATATGGATCCTAGGTGCACTAAGCATACTGTAGCCGTAGTATAAATGGGTGCGTCTAGGAGGCAATGGCCTGACGGAACCCATCCCTCTACAGGCATGTTTTGAATTTAGACTTTTTCCTTATTTCTTTGTCAAAAAAGGCTAGAAAATTCATTTACTCTGCTATTTAACGCAGAATTGGAGGGCCCGAAGAAACGGTTTCATGCCTTTCCCAAAAGAGTTGTACAAAGACGAACGTAACATACTAGCTCGGAATTTGAAATCGTCCAGTTGGTTACATTTTCGGTGTTGATATTCATTCAGTCACTTATGTGCCATGAGTGATACACCCGTAAGCGAGGCAGATTTTTTCCCGCAGTAGGTTGCCATTTCTTTCTTTTTCATCCAAGTCTATAAAACACGGACTGTCCTGCTATTTTACCCATAGCTGGGTGGCGAAGAAGAGGATTCATATCTTTCCTAAGGGTATTAGCACGTATATGAATATAACAGATTCGAATTCGGCTCTCCATTTCCTAAATCGGAACCGCTATCTTTTACTCCACCGTGCCTGATATTTGCTGCTCTACGATATTATTTACACTACAGATAAAAAACGAATAATCCAAATACTTTCGAATATTGAACTTCGTGCGAGTTTTATCCTTCGTTATATGATCATCGTCACGAGAATCACGTTCGTGTTTTGTTGTTTCGACCGGACTTCTTCCGCTTGTATACTTAAAATATATAAATTCAACCCCGCCCTGCATTCGGTCAATATTTATATATGGCACAAGCGAAATATTTCACACAATAATAGTTTGAAATGAAGTCCTCCCAGACACAAAGTGACTGCCTTTTGTTAGCGAAATCCATAGCACAAACCACAAAAAGAAGAAACAACGTAAAACACTCGAAAGTAAACACGGAGGATCAATATTTGATCACTTTAAATCGACTTGACTCATTTACGTTAGCCTATTGACCGGAAGATCGATACAAATGGAACGTTGTTCGGCAGCTGAGACGGAATGACACTTATGTGTTGTGATGGAACATTGAATATTGTGTTAACAATTTTCACACAAGAAAGAAGAGCCTTCAATTTATTTGTTCATTTATTTATAAATAATGTTTGAAACAATTTATCAGCTGAAAGGTTTAGAATCTCAAAAGAAAGCCAAGTTTCGAAAAGCTGCTTTGTATCACTACAGGTGTAATCAATGTATTGATTAACTGATTGATGTTGCTATAGGTCATTATGACAGTTGGCGCCATTAGCAGATGTGGCTACCGTTGTAAATTACTCGATATTTTTCGCATGGATGCTACAAATTAGGATGCTACAAATTTATTCCACTTTAATTCCTTATTTTTAAACCATATTCCTTTAGGTTATAGGCGATCATGTCTCTCCATGGATAAATCTTATTAATTACTAGCAGCATGGCCCGGCGTTGCCCGTGCTTGATTAAAAAATCGTACGACTCATACGGCAATCGCTATCACTTGACTTAAAATATTTTTGCCCTTCCTTGCCTTTAAAGGAGTGCCTTTTGCCGTGCTGATGTTGCTACATGCCTCACTTCTTGCCTATCTCACACTGCGAAGTTTTTCTAAGCTCTATACTAAACATTAAATTTGTTACGAAAAAAGAACTAAGCAAAATGAACACAAAACGATCAGCTTTAA